TCATTGTTGTTTGGCGGGTCCGGGCTGGGGATTCGAACCCACCACCTTAGGTGTACGTGGCTGGCGCCTTAGCCGGTTGAGCTATAGGCGCAGAGCCGGTCACAGCAATTTCATGCCACAGCCAGGCCAGCCCAGCATTGCTTCCTAACACAGCACAGGCCGTTTGCACAGGTCAAGGCAGAGCCCAGCCTCCATAGCTACAGGTGCCACCCCAGCCCCTCTTGCTGCGCCCACTGCTTGCTCACCGGGTTCTAGGGTGGGGCGACCAGGCGACTGGCAGGTGTACAGCGGAACGCTTTCCACCCCATCCCATCCCTGTCACCTCTCCTCCCAACTAAAGGTCAATCCAGTAGCTAAAAAATAAAACTTAGCAAGCACTCGGGTAAAAATTAAATACCCAGCAGATGGGTTCCAAAGTCCTACAGGTGGGGGTGGGGCAGCCACCGTGAAAAGTTAAAGTGCTGGCAAGGCCCCAGGGTATCTCCGCACATTCCCAAGGTACACAGCATTGTCCGCCTCCCGGTGCTCAGTGTCCCGGCCGGCCGGGCTACCAGCGGGGGGAGCCCCAGCATCAGAGATGTCCCCAGCCTGTCAGCAGCGTGGGCGTCAGAGGGCCTGGCCAGCCTCGCAGCTAGGATGCCGGGGGACCAGGACAGGGACGACCCCAGGCCAAGAAACCCGGAGAAGTCCTGGCGCCCCACGGCCCGCGCTCCGTTTCCCTCCGCCTCGGCCTTGTTGGGACGGGGATTTAAGAGATCCAAACTGGAGAGGGAGCTGAGCTAGCAAGACCAAACGCGCAGCCTACCCCACACTCCCTGTGGTGCGGCCTGGGCTAGAAACGCAGACGAAACCATCGCCCGGCCGGGATTCGGAGGCCGCCGGGACCAGCCATCTTGCCAGACCCAGCGCCGGACACCCGGAGCGTTCTCCGCTCCCCAATCAGAGTCTGAGCGCCTGCGCTGTCAGGCAGAGCCAGCGCCAGCCGGTGAGTGCGCGGGGCGTGGCCGGGCGTACTCAGCGACCGGGACAACGCGCGCGTGCATGGGGCCCACGCAGGCCGGTGACCAGCCCAGAGTGGACTGCACGGTCCCAGGGGTTAGGGGCACGGGGGCGACGGGAACGTGCGGAGCGCGGCCCGGGCATTGGGGTCGGGGCTTCAGTCTTCTCCCTGGACCCCAGCATGACGCACGTGGGCAGATCACTGCGAAGCAAGCCAGGTCTGGGCCCAAATTCCTGCGGTCCTGGCCTCTTGCCATGGTGGGGTACGGATTCCGCGTTTCCTTTTCAAACAAACGTGCTACTTAAAAAGGTTGATTTAAGAACAAAATTAAGGAACTTGGTGCCAGAATTGACAGGAGGTCCAACGGAAGGGCAGGCGGCCCTATCCCTGCCCCCTCGGGCGGCCAGTGAAAAACTGCACAGTAGCTCCTGCGAGGCCCAGTGGGCGGCCCTTTCCTACTAGCAGGGCACCCAGACGACCTTGGACAGCTGGTGCATCAGGCACCAGCCTAGGCCTCAGTGCGCAGGGTAGCAATTGAGGCAGAGGGATGTGTCAAGAAGAGGGGGCTGAGCGGCACCTGTGGCTTAGTGAGTAGGGCGCTGGTCCCATATACCGAGGATGATGAGTTCAAACTCAGCTCCGGCCTAACTGCAACAACAACAACAAAAAATAGCCGGGCGTTGTGGTGGGCGTCTGTAGTCCCAGCTACTTGGGAGGCTGAGGCAAGAGAATCGCCTAAGCCCAAGGAGTTGGAGGTTGCTGTGAGCTGCGACTTCACCGCACTCTACCGAGGGTAATAAGTGAAACTCTGTCTCAAAAAAAAAAAAAGAGAGAGAGAGAGAGAGGACCAAGCCCCAGGGTCCTATAGGCCTGATCTCAATTGTTATTTCCTCACCTGCCACCCCATCCTGCACCAGGCACCCTGTCAGTGTACCCAGCCACCCCCCCTTCAGGGAGACCAGTGGGAGTACCCATGGTGGACTTCCACCACCTCCTTGAGAGCTGGGCTGGGATGCTGGCCGTGTAGCAAACTGGAGTGGGGAAGGGGTTCATATGTAGGGTGACAGAGAGATCCCTGGGCCAGGGCAGCCTTCTAAGAGGAATCAGGCCTGGAAAACCCATCTCAGGTGGGAGGTCCTGTCCACTTTCCTGCCACCCCCCAACCACACTAACAATCCATTTCACCTCCAAGTGGAACCAACCTGCAGTGGGGTCTTCCCTGGCCAGGCCCATGGCTGCAGGAACCAGACAAGGCTTGCCAGCAGGCTGCAAAGGGCTCTGTCTTATTGACACTAGTGTCCCCTGTAGGGGAGAATGCAGTCCTAAGGACACATCTGGCTCTGCAAGAGACTTGGCTGTGGGTAGAATCCCCCTTTCAGGACCTGTGGGCAACTATGCTGTTGCCAGGCCTGAGACAGCAGGCCTAGGCTGGCTCAGCCAAAGGGATTTCACAGCCTCCTGGGCCTGCCCCCAGGATGGGAGTGCTCTGACTGCAGCCCCTGGGGAGGAGCCTGTCACCCTTGAGCACCCAGTGATGGGGGGCTCCATCACTCACTTTAAAGACAGGGCCCTGAGGCTCTGCACAGTGGTTCTAGCAGCAGGAGCTCACTCCTCGTTTCTCCTGGGGGAGCCTCAGGTTTAACTCAGGAGGTCACTTATCCTCATGCCAGCCCTAGGAAGCTGCTGCAGGGTGGAGGGGAGAGGTGAGAGCCTGGCCAGCCAGAGCACTGCACACCAGCAGGAAGGGCACCTAGGATGGTGGTGGTGTCTGGGTGCCAGGAAGCCCTGTGCTCTGGGCCATACACATCCCACACGCATGTGCCCAAGAAGCGTGTGAACACATGCTAGCAGCTGTGTGCCCACTTTCCACACAGACATAGGACACGGGACTGGGAATATGGGGGAGCTACCCCAGACAGTGGACTGTACTCAGTGCACAGCCTCTGACTCCACTGGATCCCCAATACCTACAAGCCCTACACAGCCAAGTGCTGGTCCCCACACTCCCTATTGGGAGGAGTGGCTGTGCCTGGAGCCCCTCACAGCTGTAATGATTTGTGAACCTGATTACTGTGCAACTCCCAGGTTAGCTGCTCAGGAAACACGTCTGGGGGAAAGCCATGACTCAGCAGTCTTTGGAGTAAATAATTTAACTGCATGATCCCAAGACATTCAGCACTGCCTACAGGTCAGTACCAGACTCACCACCCTTGCTCTCCCACCTGCTCACAGTAGCCAGGGGCTTCAGGGGACAGGCCACCCTCAGCATCCCACAGCCTTCTGAGCCTGTGAGGGGCTTCTCAGGTAAGAGCCAAATCTGGGCCCCGGATGACTTGACCGCAGAGGCAGCTCACTGGGCAGAAGCAGAAGCCAAGGACAACTGGTCAGGACCCCTAGACCCTATGGCTTCCTAAGGGACCCTCAGGCTTAAGGCAGCTCACAGGTAGTCTTTCTGCTGCACAACTGGACCCTAGGGACCCTATGTGGTGGTGGCTTTGGAAGAAAACAGAGCTCTCATCATGTTCCCTATGGGGCAGCACCATTCCCACTACCCAGGGAGTCCCCAGGCCCCATGTCCTGGGCTCTAAGGGAGAAAGAGCACTGACTAAACCCTGCTGTGCAGGGAGTGCTCTGGAGGCTGTGAACAGGGCAGAGTGGACCTGAGCCATGATCAGCCTGGCCTCTAAGCACCACCTCCCTGGCCCACTAGTGCAAAGGAAATGTAAGGATGGCCCTTCCAGCTCTGCTGGCCTGGGGTGGCTGTTTGCAGAGGGCTAGACTCCCTCTGGGAGGTTGGCCTGGGAACAGTGCTGTACAGACTGGTCAAGGTCTTGGGCAAGCACCTAAGGGAGGACCCTACATACTTTTTGGGCAAGGGACACACCCCTATCACTCCACCTCCCTCCCAGCTGGCTCTGGGGTCACTCCCCAGGCAGACTTGGAGTCCCAGCATCCAAAGGCTTGGCGGGCACACGAGACCCCCTTCCATATAGCCAGTATGTGGCCCACGGTGCAGAGGTGATGAAGGGGCCAGCTGAGGTGTCAAGAGGGGAGGGGCTCTAGAGTGGGCACGAGGGGACAAGTGAAGCCCTTCACCAGGCCAAGGAGGCAGACAGGGAGCAGCAAGGGCTCATGCCTGGGTCTCTGACAGCCTGTCCTGCGGCACACATGTGAACCGCTGGGCAGGCTCCTTCCTCCAGGGGGTGAGTGGCAGGAGCTCTGCTGGGCCACCCCTAGCACCACTGGCCTCAGCAGCCCCTGCATGTAGCCCATCATGGCAATCACTTCTTACCCCACAGCTGAACCCTGGAGTAAGCTGGACCTGACGTCCCACACGCAGGGCCAGGGTCTGGGCTCACACTGCTGGGAGGGGCACAGCACCCAGCCCCTGAGAGCAGGCAACCCAGGACCCTACACGCTCCCCTGCTACAGAATGGATGTGATCCCTGAGCCTCTGCAGCACAGCAGGGGGTTGGTGCTGGTTCGAAGGCAGCCGCCAGTGCCCCAGGGTCTGCGCAGGACGCTGAAGGCCAGGCTGCTACAGAGGTGCACATGTAGCCTGCCCCGAGCCCAGGCACTGCTGCAGGACCTGATCCCTGCCACGCGCTGGCTGCGCCAGTACCGCCCACGGGAGTATCTGGCAGGTGATGTCATGTCAGGGCTGGTCATTGGCATCATCCTGGTGCCACAGGCCATTGCCTACTCCCTGCTGGCTGGGCTGCAGCCCATCTATAGCCTCTACACGTCCTTCTTCGCCAACATCATCTACTTTCTCATGGGCACTTCACACCATGTCTCTGTCGGCATCTTCAGTCTGCTCTGCCTAATGGTGGGGCAGGTGGTTGACCGAGAACTCCAACTGGCTGGCTTCGACCCCTCCCAGGACAGCCTGGGGCCTAGAGCCAACGGCAGTATCCTCAATGACTCAGCTACCACCCTAGTCCTCCGGCCACCTGACTGTGGGCGGGACTGCTACGCCATCCGCATCGCCACCGCCCTCACACTGGTGGCTGGGGTTTACCAGGTGAGGGACCCCTGCATATGGGCAAAGATGGGCCATTTGGCTGCTCAGGGCATCCTCTCTTAGGTGCCCAGAACACACGACCTCCCAGGGGCACGTCTGGGAGGAACTGGGGGTCAGGTCCAGAGGTCAGGCAGAACTGGGCACAGGCACAGCTAGGCATTCAAGGGCATCCCAGGGTAGGGCACTGAGGGCTGGAAGTGCAGGGGGAGAGCCGAGTGCCAGCTTGGCCAGACTATGGCTCCCATGGTCTCCTTAGCTTCCTGCTCCAGGTGGGTCCAGGGGACAGGCTATCTCCTGCAGCCTCCCCAGGCCTGTCTCCCATATAACCCTTGTCCACCCTGGTTCCCCATCAGCTCCACGTCTGCGTGGAGGGCAATGGGAGTTGGCGCCACATGCAGGAAACCAGAGGGCTTTTCTGACACCGAGAGGCCAGAGGCCTCAGTTCTGAAATACAACTGGTTCCTGTGCATGAGGTCAGAGGTGAGCACCCACAGCCAGCAGAGCACACATGTAGCCTCAGTGAGTGCTGAAGTGCATAGTGTACAGAGCAGGAGCACAGGAGGCATTGGGAAGGGTCTGATTGGAAAAGATGCAGCTATAGCAGTGGATCCTCACATTCTGTGCCCACATTCTCAGGCCATACCAGGTGTTAGTGGTGGGTGACCTGGCCCCTAAGATGGCCTATGGCCTAACCATCCTCTATCCACAGGTCTTCATGGGCATCCTCCAGTTGGGCTTCGTGTCCACCTACCTCTCACAGCCCCTGCTTGACGGCTTTGCCATGGGGGCCTCAGTGACCATCCTGACCTCGCAGCTCAGGCACCTCCTGGGTGTGAGGATGCCTCGGCACCAGGGGCCAGGCATGGTGGTCAGCACATGGCTAAGCCTGCTGCACAACGCCAGCCAAGCCAACTTGTGTGATGTGGTCACCAGCACCGTGTGTCTGGCAGTGCTGCTGGCTGCTAAGGAGCTCTCAGACCGCTGCCGGCACCGCTTGAGGGTGCCACTGCCTACAGAGCTCCTGGTCATTGTGGTGGCCACTACTGTGTCCCACTTTGGGCAGCTCCATGAGCGCTTTGGCTCAAGTGTGGCTGGTGATATCCCCACTGGCTTTGTGGCCCCGCGGGTGCCAGACCCCCAGCTTATGCAGCGTGTGGCCTTGGACGCTGTGGCCCTGGCCCTTGTGGGCTCAGCCTTTTCAATCTCACTGGCAGAGATGTTCGCCCATAGCCATGGCTACTCTGTCCGTGCCAACCAGGAGCTGCTGGCCGTGGGCTGCTGCAACGTACTGCCTGCATTCTTCCACTGCTTTGCCACCAGTGCTGCCCTTGCGAAGAGCCTAGTAAAGACCTCCACTGGCTGCCGTACGCAGCTGTCCAGCGTGGTCAGTGCTGCTGTGGTCCTACTAGTGCTGCTGGCGCTGGCCCCACTGTTCCGGGACCTGCAACGCAGCGTGCTAGCCTGTGTGATCGTTGTCAGCCTGCGTGGGGCCCTAAGAAAGGTGAGGGAGCTCCCTCAGCTATGGCGGCTAAGCCCACCTGATGCAGTGGTCTGGGTAGGCACTGCAGCCACTTCTGTACTAGTCAGCACTGAGGCTGGGCTACTGGCTGGTGTGATCCTTTCACTGCTCAGCCTGGCAGGCCGGACGCAGCGCCCACACACAGCTTTACTTGCCCGCATCGGGGACTCGGACTTCTATGAGGACACCACAGAATTTGAGGGCCTCATCCCTGAACCTGGGGTCCAGGTGTTCCGCTTTGCAGGGCCACTCCACTATGCCAACAAGGACTTCTTCCTACAGTCCCTCTACAGCCTGACGGGGCTGGATGCAGGGCGCTTGGCAGCCAGAGGGAAGGAACCGGGCTCAGAGGCGGAAGCCAGTGAGAGAGATCCTGTCGACAGCAAAGACCCAGGCTCCGTGAGTACCAGGGCTGCACTGGTGTCCACAGCAGCCAGCTTCCACACGGTGGTCATTGACTGTGCCCCACTGCTGTTTCTGGACGTGACTGGCATGGCCACACTACAGGGTCTGCGCCAGGATTACATGGCCCTGGGCATTAGCCTACTCCTGGCCTGCTGCAGCCCTCCAGTGAGGGATGCTCTAAGGAGAAGTGGCTTCCTCACAGAGGATGAGGGGAGCGTGGCTGAGAAGCAGCTGTTCCACACTGTACACAGCGCCGTGCTGGCTGCTCGTGCCCGCCATGGGGAGCTGGCAGCTGCGGACTCTACCCTCTAACAGGCAGGGCCTGCTCACAACTCTCCTGAGCTTGTGGCACAGGTCTGCAGCCGGCACTGAGATCCTTTGAGGGAGCAATGCCCAGCTGCAGTTGTCACTACCTCCATCCTGGGGCCCCAGAGCATTAGTTGGGGACAGGGAAGGGACACTCTGACCAAACACGAGGACCTCAGACACTCAGTAATCAAGAGCCTTCACCTTCAAGGCAAGTGCTGCCCCCCAATGTGGGCCCAGCCCTGATGCCAGGCACCCACATGATCCCTCGGCCTGAGTGCAGAAGTGCCGCACCCAACCCGACACTCTGCACCCCACCTGATACTCTGCGTGCGTCACTGTCTTGTTTAAATGAGGGTCCCTGCAAATCATGAAGCCAGAAGAACACACTATCCCAGGGCCTGTCCAGCCTCTGCCCTGCAGCATAGGCACAGGAAGAGTTCTCTTTCTCTAAGCCCTCCACACCCAAGTGCCCCCAGGCCTCACCCTCAGAGTGACAGCCTGCCTTAGGGGCCAAAGGTGGTGTGACCAATAGAACCTCAACCCAGCACTGGGGCCTGGCCTGCAAAGCCATGTGCCACAGGTCAAGCAAATGTGACCACACTTCCCGTGGGTCCCTGGAGTATAACCAGTAGGGACATCCTCCCTCACCCACTCCCCAAAAGGATGCCGTGATAGGAAGTGAAGGAGCCCCGGGTCCTCTGAGCACCAGCCCAGCCCTGCCCCATCTGACACAGCACAGGCCAGTCGGGCTTCCTTACTTGGCCTGGTCATCTCTGCAAGGAAGGCTCTGGCCAGCTGCCCCCAGGAGTCCCAGCCTCCACAGCACCCACCTGGCTGTGACGAGGTCCAGCAGCCAGTGGGTCCGGACCTGCTCAATGCCATGGTGAGGGACAGCACCTACATATGCGAAGTTGAGCTGCTGGTCCCAGCTGAAGAAATGGTCGGCCTGGTCATGTGGCAGTGGAGGGCTGGGAATGGAAGAGGTGGCTGTAAGTCCTGAGCCTTGGGCCCTGGTCAGTTGTGCAGCCTTCCTGCATGTCTGGCCCCTATAATCCAGGACTCAGGGCTACTGGGGAACCCCAGATAACAGGCTGGTGCCTGCCCACTCAGTAAATAATAAAATTACAGTAATCAGGGACAAGTTCTGTCTCTGCTGGGAAGGGAGCTGACAGGACAGAAGACTAGGACTTCTAGCCCCACCCCTTGCTCTGCCCTACAGGAAACTTGCAGCCGTCTAGGAGGAGGCTGCAAGGGGCGTCTGACACTCCCTGGCTGCCTTCAAGAGCAGTGTTCTGAGCCTGGGGTGGTCCCAGGCCTCCATCACAGGTCACACCCCAAACACCCAGGATATGAGAGGAGACCCCACCTCCACCTCATAGAGGCTGGATGGCACAGGGAGGAGGGAAGGACTCCGTCCTCTCTCAGGAGCACCCACTGTATGTGAGTGAGAGCCTAAGGGTCTCCCCAGATGCCACAGGAGGGTCCCAGAAGCAAAAAGCACAGTGGGCACCCTGAGTTTGGGAAGAGCGCGCGCGGGGATAGAGGTAGGTGGGACGCTCGGTCCTCAGTTCCGCGACATGGTGCGCTCACCAGAACCCCGTGCTCCTCCAGAAGGGCCGCAGGGGCCGCAGCACACGGGTCACGTCCACCCGCACCAGATACGGGGCCTCAGCCAGGGCGGCCGGGAGCACAGCTAGGAGAGCAAGTAGCGCGGCGCGGGGACGCACAGCCGGGACAGGGACAGCTCGGGGCCGCGGGGATGACATGGTTGGGGTGCGGTGTCGTACGACCCCAAAGCTGGGAGCACAAGAAGCGAGGATTGCACGGCTGGGGCGCAGAGTGGCAGGGGTCTCGCGGCCAGGATACAGGGCCGCTGGTGTAGTTCCTGGACCTGCCCGGCCCAACCAGTCGGCGCGCGCCTCTGCGTTCCGGGAGCAGCTGGTTCCGCCTCCGGGTCACGGTCTGAGCGCTCCCACGTGATCGCCGCTGCAGGGCAGGACCTAGGTAGGACCTCCGCGCGACCCCGGGGAAGGGGGCCGGGCTGGGGGTGGGGCGCGGCCAGGTGGGACGGCTTCTCCACGGTCTTCTCGGCCCCTGCCGAGTGTTGCTGTCTCACCGCAGAGTGGTCAGGAGGACTGGGCGACTAAATTTGTGGAAAGCGCTCTGAGGAGTGCTCGGTCCTGGCGTGGGATGTGCATGGAGCGCACCCTGTCTCGTTAAAGCTCCGAGCAGTTGAGGCCCAAGCCCGTAACAGCTCCAGGGCTGGCCGGACCACAGGAGGCGGGTCAGGAGTCTGCTGGCTGGATCCTGAAGTGCCGGAGGCGCGGGCTCCGGCTCAGGTGCCTGTGGAGGCGGAGCTCTAAGAGCGGTGGGTGGGTTGGGTGAAGCCTGCAGAGGGAGCGCGGGGTCCAACGTGGCCCCAGGTTCGGCGGGAGTCCGCGTGTCCGACGACTCTGAGAACCTGGATTCCACCAACTGCCGATTGAAAACATTTTTTTAGAAAAACAAAACAATGGGTTAGTGCACTGGCTCACACCTGTAATCCCAGCACTCTGGGAGACTGAAGTGGGAGGATCATTTGAGCTCAGAAATTGGAGACCAGCCTGAGCAAGAGTGAGACTCCGTCCCTATGAAAAAACACAGAAATTGGGGCGGCGCCTGTGGTTCAAGGAGTAGGGTACCCGCCCCATATACCAGGGATGGCGGGTTCGAAAAAAAACTGCAGAAAAAAAAAAAAAACGAAAGAAAAGAAAACAGAGAAATTAGCTGGGCATGGTGCACACCTGTAGTCCCAACTACTCTGGAGGCTGAAGCAGGAGGATCACTTGAACCCAGGAAGAGGCTGCAGTGAACCGTGATTATGCCGCTTCACTCTAGCCTGGGCAACAGAGCTAGGCCCCATCTCCAACAAAACAAAATAAATGATACAACAGTAAAAATAATCTTAATACAATACAATTATTTACATAGAATTTACATTGTATGTAATCTACATTTGCATTGGATATTCTAAGTAATCTAGGGATGATTTAAAGCAGTGGTTCTCAGCCTTCCTACTGTTGCAGTGTATTTTCATTGTTAAAAAGGGCTCACGACCCACAGATTGAGAACTGCTGATTTAAACTATATCGAGGGTATGTGTAGGTAATAATGCAAATATTATGTTGTTTTATATTTGGGACTAGAGCTTTTGTGAATTTGGGTGACGTTGAAGGTCCTAGAATGAATCCCAAAAGATACCATGAGACAACTGTAGTCCAAAATAGGTATGTGACTGTAAGCCAACACTATAAAGTAATGATGAAAGTAACTATCTAATGAGAAAAGGAACTGAAATACTGGACTATAACAGCCCATAAATTGTGAGCTCAAAGTTACAGTGATTGGTCTTTTTTTATTTGAGGGGAAAGGATTAAGATACTGTTTAACATTAGGTCTTCTTACATGGAAATTGCGAACTAAAAACATCATGATTATTCATTTAAATGAGACGTAGAGTATATAAATTCTAAACCAGCAGGAAGGAAGAAATATAGTACGAAAAATTAATGGAAAAAATTAATAAAACATTATAAGAAAGGGAGGGAAAGCCAAGAAATAAAAAATGACAGTACAGAAATTTCTCTTTCTGGAAACAGTGGGCTTTCACAGAGTTCAAGCACTTCAGAGAAAACAACTGAAGCAGTGGATAAATCATCTTAAAAATAAACTCTAAAAGGCTGGGCACAGTGGCTCATGCCTATAATGGTTGCAACTCTGGGAGCCCGAGGCAGGTAGATTGCTTCAGCCTACGACTTGGAGACAAGCCTGAGTAAGAGTGAGACCCTGTCTCTACTAAAAATAGAAAAACTGAGGCAAGAAGATGACTTGAGCCCAAGAGTTTGAGGTTACTATGAGCTATGATGACAACATGGCACTCTACCCAGGATGACAGCTTGAGAATTTGTCTGAAAAAAAAAAAAAAAAAGGTCGGCCCAGGGCTCATGCCTGTAATCCTAGCATTCTGGAGGCCAAGGCAGTGGATTGCCTGAGTTCACAGGTTGGAGACCAGCCTGAGCCAGAGTGTGACCCTGTCTCTAAAAATAACCTGGTGTTGTGGCAGCTATTATAGTAGTCCCAGCTACTTGGGAGGAAGAAGTCTGTTTGCAGCACCAGAGTTGCAAAGGGAGCAAAGATGTTAGGGCAGAGACTGGAGAGAGGTTTCCCAGAGTGGTGAGGCAGCTCCCTTGGTGCCCCTGTCCCCAGCACAGTCACTGCCCTTCTCTTAGTTTTCCTCTTAAATATCCTGGTATTTTCTATTAAAACCTGGCTTCCAGGCTTCGAGCCTGTAGTTCAGAGGTTAGAGCACCCGCCACATGCACTGGGGCTGGCAGGTTCAAGCCCGGCCTGGACCTGGTGAACAATAATCACAACTAGAACAAAAAAAAAAGTGGGGTGTCGAGGTAGGCGCCTGTAGTCCCAACTACTTTGGAGGCTGAGGCAAGAGAATTGCTTATGTCCAAGAGTTTGAGGTTGCTGTGAGCCGTGATGCTACAGCACTCTACAGAGTCATAGTGAGACTCGGTCTCAAAAAAAAAAAACTGGCTTCCATCTCTCAGTGGTAAAAAACTTTTTTTTATGTCTGCCCTTTGTATTGACATTTTAATTTTCTTTTTTCATTTACTTTTTTTTTTTTTTCTTGAGACAAAGTCTTACTCAGTTGCCCAGGCTGGAGTGCTGTGGTGGCATCCTAGCTTACTTGTAGGATTACAGGATTACAGGTGTGAGCCACCATGTCTGGCCCATTTTCTTATTTTCCATATTCTTTTTTTTCTTTCACTTTTTTCTTTTATAATTTTTTTTTTGAGATAGTCTCACTTTATTGCCCTCAGTAGAGTGCTGTGGCAGCATCACACAGCTCACAGCAACCTCCAACTCCTGGCTTAGGTGATTCTCTTGCCTCAGCCTCCTGAGTAGCTAGGAC